CCTAAAGACTATCTTGAAGTCTTGAGCTGAAGTATAAGGGTGATACAGCTACACTGTATGTTTATTCTTAATGACACTTTATGCTAGTTTGAGTTGATAAATACATGTAAATATGTCTTACTTGATTAAATAAATGATTTATTGAGTTACTCAATCACAATTTTACAAACTAAAAATGCTAACAAAGTTGCAGACTTGCATTCAAAGTCAACACTAGTCATTTAAATATGACGCCACTATGACGATCCGTTACGTAAACTTTTCCTGCGAGACTCAATATACAGTTGGTCACCTAAGACATCTGGCGGATAATTGAAACATCTGAAAGCAGCGCAGTTAAAATGCCATTTATAACAAATACGGTGAATGTCGGGGTCGATTTATCGAGGGTCAGTATTCGATAAACGTATAAACGTAGGTGGTGCGACACGACTGAAGGCTGTTAATATTCATACGGACTTTGCATTACGTTGTGGCATTAGCAGACGACGTCATTTGGAGAAGAAGAATTTGACACACAGTGATCGTGTTCTTAGGGAATCTGTGTGTAGGGGACTACAATTCAATAGGGGTTTGTAACTGAAAATCTGTTTATGGGTTTGCCTCTTGTCCCAATTAACACTTTTCAATACAGTAGAACGTCATTAAGACGAATTGCAGGGGGAGGGATTCGTATCATCGAGGTCTTCTTAATGAAGAAGTTCGTTTGAAGGTGAAATACTACCGTTATTCGTCTTACCGAGGTTTCTCCTCCCTCTGATTTAACTTCGAGGAAGGAAGACGGTTGGGTGGGGGTTTCATTTTGAGACAAGCTTCTGTTTGTTTTGAAAACTATGTACTATGGTTCAGAGAAATTTGCCAAATTCCTCTAGGTGTTTTGACATTGCCTTTTTAAAAGTTTCAAGGGGATAATAAAATCCGTCTATCTAGGAATTCGTTTTACCAAGGTTCTTAATAACGAGGTTCGACTTAAATTAGCTTCATATAATTTGTGTAGCCACTTTTAATTAATACAAAATAATTTTGAATGTGGATACGTTTGTTCTAATAAAGTCAAAGTCATCATTCATTACTCTAACAGTTTCAACTATAACTCCTAGAACTGGAAGTATTATAAAATATGCTGTGACTTTGATCGCTTTATGGGGAAAGCAACATTGATTAGATGCAGGAAAATACTTTGAAGTACAATTGAAGTAAGCTCACTGCTCTGGATTCCCCATAAATATAAAAACTCAAAAGAACGTATGTAGGTACAAAAGTAAGTTACGTAAAAGTTACTGAACACTACTAATATTAACAAGATGTGGGACTAATTAAATTTAAAAATATTTTCGTGGGATTTAGAGATCTGCTGACCATGGGGCCTTTGTTCCAATCTCGAGGTTGGAATTCCGTGAATTGTGAAAGAACTTTGTCCATACATAACTATGATTAACTTAAAAAAATGTATTCAGGAACTTATTCAGAAAACGAACCAAAAAGGTTTTCTCAACTTTCGCGTATTAGGAAATTTAACTACCTTACTAAAAATGCTAATTCAAAGAAGTAACCATTTTCACCAAATCGATGGCTTATGGGAGCAAACACTAAAACACTTTTTAAAATGACGATAAGGACTATTCACGATAAAAATGCTGTTTGACCAAAATATCGCAAACTATTACATTTGAAGGATTTAAAAACGACCCTGAACTACAGAAACACATTTTGGACGCAAGATTCAGAAGCTTTGTCAATTCCCAGACTTTGTAGGTCAGATCAACACAGGTAACCGAAAACAAACACAGCAAGGGAAGAACAAACACGGCAAATTGTTTGACATCCTCTGCAGACGAGTCCTGTAGAAAACAAACGAACACGACTACAAACAAAGCTGCCTTGGTGTCAGATGAAATTTAATCGATAAAATCGTTGACTTTACATACGAGGACGAACTCTGTTTGAACTACTAGACTAGACAATCTATTTAACTTGTTACAACGTGTCGAATAAGGATCTCTTCTTCCAGAAAGGCCTTTCTTTGATGATGAGCTAATGCTACAATTCGTAGTAAGTTTCCTTTTAGGTACGTGTGTAAAATAGCCAAGTTAAATAAAATTGTACATTACAGAAAACATACCATATGATGGTGGCCCATTTAGGCTAGTTTAAAATCAATTGAAACTGACTTAAATTAGTTTACATGTAAATGGAATGTATATTTCGCGATGTACAGTAAATTATCACCAGAGTCAAACTATAAAGGATCAGAATTAAAATAATAATATTTACAGTAAGCAGCACAAACGTATGTACCAAGCGTATTTCAAACACATAAACTATTTGTCTCAGATATTGCACAATAGATACCTATGATTCATCTATACTTAACAGAGTTTAAGAGTTTTATTTAAAAAAAAATGTTCAATAGAAAACTGTATTTAAAAGTCTTCATCAGTGGTAGCCATATTGGATTTTAGTCTCATAAGAGCAATGTTAAATTTGACAGAACTCATTGGAAGTAGCATACCAATGTTATTAATAAAGATATAGTTTTGAAAAATTATAATAATTAGGTTTATAACATAGAGCTCTATTGAATGAGGAAGTTATATTTCAAATATTAGTTTTTATATTTTCTTAGTAAATTATTTAATTTACAGCCTATTTAATGATCAATAACATTAAGTTAAGGAAAAATTACAAAACTAAAATCCTCACTCCCTAGAGGGCCACTAAACCTTAATCTTAACACCTCAACCATTATTTTATCACAACAGGTTTTTTTTTTAGAAATTCTGTTTCAATGTTAACATTGCTCTTATGGGACAAAAATCCAATATGGCTACCACTGATGAAGACTCTTAAAAACATGGGTTACACAAATATTAGGAAAACGTGTAAGGTTGAAAGATACACAAAAATAATTATAATACAAGTAATCCAAACTAGCAGTACCGTATCCGAATTTCTCAGCGTTAGTACATCAATAACATGAATTTTCTTAGACAATTATTTATGAAACAAAGTAATAGTAAACCATTTAGGCAAGTTTACAAACGCTAAATGTATGACGTCATAGTTTAAACGTCCACAAACTTCAGCTTACAAAATGCGCGCTGTCAAGCGGATTTACAGTAACGTGTCACCGACGATGTTATCTAGATGGCACAGAATTACACGAAATGGCCACATAAAACTGGACGACCGCAACCACATACTTGGTGGCGGAGTCATACTCGGCTCATACTTGGATCATACTTGAAACCGCACGCGGAACCCGCAAACTCCTATGCTTTCGTTTGGGTTTATTCTTTATTGACTCTTAAAAAACATATGTAATAGGTTATGAATGATCATACTATAATGAATGTAATATTATAAATACATGATAGTTTGTGGATGGTTAGATGGTTATTTGCGAAGAACAACAGTGTTTTCTGTTTCTGTTTGTTTAATTGGAGGTTTTAAGGATTCGAGGAAAAAAAACAAAAAAAACTGCTTGAATAATTTGATAAAATGACTTAGCTATCTCGATGAGAATCAAAAAGTTAAGAATTATACTTTCAAAATCAGAATTTGCATCTTCATTGGATATGTAACCCGCTATACAGGGATATCTATATGTATATTAGAAGAAATGTATATTATGTATATCCCACAGTGGAACCTTGATAACAAGACCTTCGATAACAAGTCACCCTTTTTATCAAGTGTAATTTTCTAAGCCCCTTGAATTTTATTTTAGACCTAATCATATGTCATTGCAAACCTCGATAAGAAGTTGACCTTGATAACAAGTCTTTTTTAATAATCCCCATGAGAGTCTTGTTTGTATTTCTACCTTCCTAATCCAAAGTACCTCTACAATGTATGGATATCTTTATATTGATATTTACTCGTCTTTATACAGCTATTTATACCATCGTGTTAACATACCTATTTGTATACGGTCAATCCATTGATGTATATCAATGCTGGGAGGTTGATTATGTCTAGACTTCCCATGTGATATAACAATTTGAATCCAAGAAAATAAATGAAGTTCAGCACCATCTCACCAGAGTTTACTAGTGTATTGGGTTGAATATTAAACCAATGCAGTATCATAGCGAACAGCTGATTGATTAACTGTATCACTTAAACACAGAATATTGTCAGTAGTTGGTAATCATTTCAACAGATTGCACCACGTTTTTTGGCTTCAATTTTTTACATGAAATAGGAAGTCTACTGAATAACTTGTATTACTTAACTTACTGGGTTCCTAGCGTGGTAAAACATTAAGTGGGAGTGTGCAATAAATAAAGTGCGAAAAATAAGGATGGGATAAATATTATAGCTAACGAATGCTTCTACAATTTAACTTTGACATTTCAAGTTGGTTTGGGCAGCGTTATTGCCAAGAAAGTTATCAGCAAGGGTGTGCCAAATTTTATAACGCGCTAAAATAATAGGAAAATATTATTATGACTTTTTTAAACCTAAACACAAACTACACATTTTATAATGTTTACTAGGCTACTGTGGTCACAAATCAATTAATTAACGTATTTTATGTTGGTTTAATTTACTGTTTATAGCCTCGTATATACCTAATACCTTTTTTATGTCCATTAGAGTAGTGAATGATTATTATTTAACTTATAACCATTAACAAGAGGAGCCATTGATTCATTTGTATGCAGCATATATATGTAAATCAGCCCATAAGCCTAACAATAATTAAAAATCTACTAAAATAATATTTGAACCCTGATTATTTAAATGTTTCACACTATTGTATGCTCAATTTTCTTAATTTACTTACAAATTTTATACGAAGCCTGAGTGTTTACTTAAGAACCAAAAATATTAGCACCTTTAATGTTACATAAACAAACAACTAAATGAACTTATCCTTCAAATCCCATAATGCTATCACAACAAACCTCCTTATTTGACTAACACTATCTTGTGCAAAGTCTTATCTAAATAATACTTTACACAACCATATTTACTATACAGAAAGAACTTACCGAGTTGCACAATCTATGGAGTGATCGAATTCGACGCACGGGACACTACACTATAACACACATGTCTGAACAGCGCGGGCATACACGGCAGACTGAAAACTGAACTGTCACTGTGTCACTAACTGAACTCCCCCCCCCCCCCATCAACAATGGGAGTGATACCACCTATCAAAGGGGGGGGAGGGCAGGTAGGACATTAGGGTTTTATATGCGATTAATCAACGTTTGTGTTAAATGTTACACAACTATTTGGTTGAATATTATGTTTACGATTAAAATTGTTAATTATTGTAGTAAATTGGGTTAGAACTAATTACTTTAGAAATTAGGGTTTTGTTTCGGTGATTAGTTGTTATTTATGATAAATATTAAAATAAACAGTGTCAGCATTCTGATACATACTTTCTCCCATAAGCTTGTCAACAACCTTTATCATGGGTAAGCGGTGGGAGTAAATATGATATTAGTTAAAAATCACATAAGTTGCAAAATTGGACCACAGGTGGCTTCCGTAGCTCTGTACACATACACACATGCAGGCATCACTTCGAAAACCACTTTTTTGGGGTCAGGGGGACCCAAAAAAGATATACACTCAAAAATATATCTTTTTTGGGTCCCCCTGCACCAAAAAAGATATATACACTCAAAACTCAAACTCGAAAATTCTTACGAAAACAGTTCTCCATATTATGTATAGGGGGGAGAAGGTGAAAAACAAATAGTTTTTCGGTTTGGGTTCACGACTATATAACGATTAGTGTCTTAGGTTTCCAAGAAAATTAACTGTTACCATAGGCAAAAAGTTCCAATATTTAATTAATTGCCTAGTCAAAAAACACATAGAATCTCATATTTAATCCATTATTTGATATTTTTTGGAAGCATGTAAAAATAATCGGTTGGACTAATGAGTTGTGTATGTTGTTTACTTGATTAAGTTGTTTTTTGTTTGACAACTAATTTATAATCTTTTGTCTGTGCTAAATATTCTTAAACGGGATGGTTGAATGTTGTGAATAACACAACAAACTGTCTTATCAAAAACACTTTGAACGACAAAAAATTTGGGATTTTTTGTTGGAAATTAGGGTTTTTTCATCATTGAGTAAATATACGGTTTGGTCACTAATTATCAGAATATACATATCAACGATTGGGTTTAATGCTACAAGGAATGGAGCAACAAATTATATCACTGAAGTGTCAGAATTTATCAATGTTTTGGACAGGTCGGTTCAACACGAGGATTTCGTATCTTGTTAAAATCATTAATTTCTGTTTGTGTTCAAAGTTCCACGATTTAGCTAAATAGGCTCACGATTGTATTAGGGCTTCATGTTAAATATTACAAAGATTTGAAAAAAATCACTTGGTGTAAAAATTTGTAAATTTTATTTTAGAGGGCGGTGATGTGCTGTCCAAATTAAAACCTAAAACGTTTAATTAATTAGTAATTTAATAACCTGGGACCATGCAATACCCCTGTCAACATTCAGAACCAATTTGGATTTTTGTCTTTGTTGACTATCATGAAACATGAATTGGATAATGTTATGAGTAACACAACGAATTGTCTAGTTAAACACTTTGTTTAGTTACTAATTGGAAAAAATGAGAATTTTTCTGAGGGATGGGGAAAACACTATTGGACTGGTTTATATGTAATTATGATAATTCTTTGACTGTTAAAAAATCTCTAACATCTTTTGTAGTTTGAAACCGTTAATGTGTATGAAGATAATTTATGATTAGACTTGAATAAGAAACTTTTTTACCTCAAAAACAAATTCGTCACAGCTTTATGGAGTTGCCTACCAAAACAAATACCTAACCATCCTTACGATACATAAGTAGACGTACCATCTATATGGACCAGCTGTAACAATTTTTTTTTTTAAATAGCTTAGTTGTGTGAGCCAGATACAGAATACGCTAGTGACTAAAACTCTATTTTCTACCCTTATTTTTGTTGCTGGCCAAGTTGATGTAAGACTGGTCATAACAGTTGCTACAGCTCACACTTCCATTAGTTCAAATTGTTAAAAAAGATCGTGTATACGACAGAAATCAGTAATTTAGCACAATCTGTCGGTGGCTCACATCAACTACGACGATTTTGGTAAAAAAAGCTGGCTACAAATTTAACATGGGGATGGAATGTATAAGGATACACCCTTCTGTACTGTAACCTAAGGGACACGAAATTGTCCAGATATAAATAAACTCAAGAATGAATGGGAAAAACAAGAAACTAGGGAATTTACGTTTTTCAGTGTGGTAACACAGCAAGTTATGTTAACCACTCGGCCATCATCTAGTTATATTTATTACTTCATTTATCACATGCCGGATGCTTGTAGTTGAACACACAGAAGTCGCACTGCCATGCGAAGCTGGTAATCAGAAAATGAATAACGCATAATAATGAAATTTATGGCACAGAATATAGTTTATGCGTGCAATTTAAATCTCGGACAAGTTGTACGATTGTTTTCGCGTAGGCATTTGTCTACAGGAAATACTAATGGTTTGCCATGATTAAACAAATATTTCTCAAGGTTCTGATGGTTTGGGCGTGAATCGCAAGTACTTAAGGTTTTATGGGTGTGAGGAAAAATCGTTGTAGGCGTTGAATTCGCTAAATTTGTAACTAAACTGTTAATTTGAGCGGGAATACTAATGCTTTGCCAAGAATCGGCTTTGGGTTTGAGGGTAAACCATCGGTAGGTTCTTGAATCTTTAAACTTAATATGGTAATATTTGCAATAACTAAAATATTAATTTGTTAAATTAACAACTGGCCGATGTTAACCGTTAATGTACTAATTCGTTTAGCCTTATTCCTTACTTGACTGGGACGGGTGGCGTGGTCCTGTATTTCAGCTTCAACTACTAGGAGGTCACGAATTGTGGATATTTATAGAGATACACTGTGGATGCGATACTCCCTGGTGTGGACCCGAGTACTACGACTATCCGCAGTACTATCCTGATGATTAAACCAATTCGTTAATACCAAGGCAAGAATGTGGTTCGGATTGCACTATAAACTACCCCTTAGTTGTCATTACCTGTTTGGGCTATCAATTAACAGTTGTGTCTAAGGAATATGTTGGCATCAGTACATAGATCTACAAGACTACATGACAACTACAAGATCGCGCCACTCATCATACACTCATCCTTCACTCATATTTGGGTTAAAATACGGACCTAGTGGTGGTCCCCATCCTAAATAATTTATAATTGATTAAACGTCATGATAAAATGATTTTAACGTCATTCCATACTTGATTATGATTAAGGTTTGTATAGTAACTAATTTATTATTTACTAGAGTAATGCTACATACGAAAACATGCAGTTCAATCTGTGACTATTTTTCAGCAAGAACCTTTTATGTTTTCTTGTCTTCGTTTAAAAACACCAATAATATTGTAATATTTTATAGATTTTAATTATATTTACAACTTAAAACGTTGACTATTTTCATCGATTCAACAATCATTGTACGTAAGAATAAAACTGACCTAGTTTGAAATTAAGCTAAGTTTTAATTACGTAACTTACTGATATAGGTAGTACTAGCTTAACGATGTAAACTGGACTCAGTTTATTAAATAGCAAAGAAAAACTTTTACATGGTACAGTACATACCCTAAGAGAGGTATACAACTAGGTAAATTAACTAAGTTTTAGTTTAACCAGGTTACAAGTTACGGAATAGTTCATTCAGCTATAGTAACTGGATTTAATACAATCGATTCTAGTTTAATAGGGTACCATAACTAAGTAACAATCAAACTAGGCAACTTAATTAAGTTGTAGTGTAACTGAACTTATTTCTATTTTATCTAGGTAACAAGTTGTAATTTATTTACCTACTAGCTGCTGTACCCGTGCTTTGCAACGGGAATAGGACACAAAATAGAAACATTTTGATCTTTACATTTGTTGTATAAAAAAGTTTCACATCCACCAACGCTTGTAGAAACAAAATTCGGCTGCACTTTAGTATCCATTGACATAAATTAAAAAAATATTCTATAATGAACTTTTATATTAAAATTAATAGTACTGCACCCTGTTGGTAAACCTTATAACTTGTTAATGTCATTTAATATCATAGAACCAATTTGTGTATTTGAAACAGCTGACGAAATGGTTTTATTCCTTTTAAATATGATTACTTATAAGGTTAACATGGGAAACTCCATGGGACTAAACTAACATGGGAGCCACTGGGGCAGAGCCCGAAAGGACTTTTGAGGCGTCTATATTTTTATCGGGAATGTGAGCTATCATCACACCAAATTTCAGCCCAATCCGACCAGTATTTTTCGCGTTTACTTGTCACAAACATATATACATCCATTCATCAAAACTTTCTAATTTATAATATTAGTAGGATTATTACAAAGTAACAATTTTAGCGTATTTAATAAATAATAGTTGTTTAACTACGTAAGTATAACAGAATAAAAAAGTTATAATTAAACCAGGTAACTAAATGATCAAACAAATCAGTTTACATTAATACTTTTAACTAAACTTAACGAAATGTATATCAATATTTTAAAATCAACACAAAATAGTTTAATAGATGGTTTGCTGTGTAATATACAGACCACGGTAGCTCGGAGGCATAATCAGTATGACGGAACCTTTCTACTGGACTATCCCGGGTCTTAACCATTGGCCAATCCCTACATGCGGAGGGTCAGGAGAAAGGTTCCATCACACAGACTATAGCGTATTGGGCTGAAAAGCCAGACAAAGATGATTCGAAACCAGCCAGCCTGCACTGGACGCACTATATTGTCCTCACAGTCATCACTGACTAAGCTATGTGACTAATACTGTAACAGTACATCTCTGTATTTAGATCACCGAGTCTATGGCGACGTGTTGTTCGATTTAATGGGAATCCTAAACAAATTACACGCAACCTACAAAATAATTGACCTTTTCAAGAAGAGAGCCAACAATATTGATCCAAATAAGAGGGAATTTTACAATTAATTTATATACATGCAATAAACAGAATTAAATACTGTTGCTTAAAATTCGTCGGACCTTGAGTGCT